CCCAGCCAGCCTTGCTTAAAGTGGCCAAGGTTGATGCTGGCTGGGGAATTCTGGGAGTTGAAGTCCACCCATCTTCAAATAGCCAAGGCTGAGAAACACTGCAGAAGATGATTCTTCTTCAGCACACTACTGGCCTGGGATAAAGATTACAAGCCACTCTTCTTTTTACACTTACGTTCTCATCTGAATTATTTCTCAACGGTCCTGTATACATTGCCCAGAGTCTGACAAATGGGACAGTACGTAAATATTGTAAACCAACGAACGCATCCATAAGGATGTTGAAGCACTGGGGAGGTCACGGCGGAAGGGAGCGTTGAAGGCATCTCTGACATATTGAAGGCTGAAGTGAATTCATCGCCCTCCAGGGCTGGGGAAAGAAAAGCCATTGATCAGAGTCAAATTGCAGGACATTTAGAGAGCATCAATAAGCCTTGACAACAGCGGCAGCCATTTTGCCGTCATGAAAATAGGCACTCCCTGAGCCATTAAGGAAGGAGGTTCATGCAGCCCCGTCCTGACACCCCAGAGTTTTCCCAAAACAGGTCTGGCCAAGAGAAGCATCTCCCATTTCAAAAATGGGACCTCCTGCTCATTCAGAAAGAAGAATAAGCTGGTGGAAAGGTGCCCAGCCAATGTTTATTGATATATTTAAACACTGGCCCCTCCTGTCTTAAGCACACAGAAAAACAATTACTGTAGCAGCTACTAGGATGCCTCAGGGACACTCTTGGATTCATTTACGGTTCAACAAAAGCGCAACCCCAATTTAGCAGAGATTTCATTCATGGCGTTCTCTGAGCTCAGTGGTTTTCTTGCAGACATTTCGTTACCCAACATTGTTGTATGCCACCCAGAGTCACCTTGTGCGAGATGGGCGGCTATATAAATATGAATAAATTAAAATAAATTAAAAACATCACCAGCGCTAACACACACTAACATAGACTGATGATGTTACCTAGTCAGGTACCAAAATGTCTGAAGAAAACCACCGAGCTCAGAGAACCTCAAGGGCTCCACAGTTCAACCCTGAGCTATAGAGATTCTCTTCTGTTAGATTTAATTCAGGAACCAGGTTCAGCGCCTGGATTAAGGACGGCCATGGCAGATGTTTCTGAGCTTGGCATGAGGCCGGCCGGGCGGCCAGCCAGCCAGTTTTGTGGTTTACCAGGGATCCCTTGGCTGGTCCAACAAACCATGGTTTAAACAAGCCCTGACTTAGCAGGAGGAGGGGCCTGAAAGGCGACTCTAGAAAGCGCCTCATTGGCGCAACTGAAACGACCGTTATTTCCCCCCCATGAGGCGTCGCGAGGGGGGAATTTTCAAACGGAACGAGGCGGGAAAAGCCGTTGGTTCGCGCGAGGACTGCTGCGGAGGGAGACTCTGGCTCCGCTCTGGCGCATGCGCGCCTCCCACAGACGCGCGGCAGCCCTTCCTGGCGCCGCTGAGGTCTCCCCGGCAACCGCGCGCCGCTCCCGCCTCTCACGTGAGCGGCCAGGCTGGGGAAGTCACGTGATGTTTGGTTTTATTTCTCACCCTCCCTCCTCCCCTCCGGTCGTTTGCTCGCTCGCTCCTTCCTATCCCGAGCGAGCTGTTTCCGGGTCAATGCAGGACGCGGCCGCCGGACTGGGAGCTTGAAGCGGTGGGGCCCGGTGAGGAGGGGACTGGGGAGGAGAGACAGAAGGGCGAACGAAGAACGGACGGGATAAAACGCTTCCCCGCCGCCCCCCCCGTCTGCCTCAGACCGGCCTGGTGCTGAGAGGCGGAAAGGGAAGGGTTAATGGCGGGGGGAGAGAGAGGCTGCGGTCCAGGTGGAGCCTCGCTGTGCAGCAGCAGTCTAGCTCCAGCTTCCAAGCGCTGGGGACCAGCCACCGAGGAGGGGAGGCTGGTCCCCTCCTGAGGGAGGGGGCTCTGTTGCGCCTTGTTGGAAACAGTGGGCTGGGAGTGGGGCGGATTGGCCCCCCTCCTCCCCCGTGTATACCCCCGCAAGCGGCAGTTCTGAAGGAGGACGCTTTGGGAGGCAGCCTTTCTCCAAAGTCCTGGGGACAAGCGGTGGGGGGAGGGCAGAGAGATGCTGGCTGCCTGGGCTGCTGGTGGGTTTCTAGGAAAGTGAGTAGCGGACCCTTGATGGAAGCAAGAGGCTAGCCAGGCCTGCAGAGCAGATCAGCCATGGGGTGCAGACTGGCCCCTCCACGCGCAGATGTACTTTATAAACACAAGAGAGGGATTCGGTGACTTCCCTGCCCCACTTCAGGGCTCCCTGGAGGCAGCTGGCTGGTTGCTGCCCAAATAAATAATAGTAATAATAATAAAGTGCTGGTTTGAATGGCAGTTGGTCTGATCCAGCAGAGTAACGTGGAGGCTGTGCCTCCAACGAGGGTCCTGGTGGGAAGAGAAGCTCAGCATCAGTAGTAGTAGCAGCATGTGAAAAACAGTACTATAACAGGAAAAATAATGTTGATCCCAGGGCTGCAGTGGGTGAGAAACAAGTATGGCCTGAATTGCCTATTTTACTTGCATTTTCACACACAACATAGCTTCCAATAGTTGGTTATGGCCACAGAGGAAGACTTAGCCCCCATAGAGGTGGTTTTTTAAAATATTATCACAATCTGATTTATAACTATTTAGTTACCCAACCATTGAATTTCTCATTTGATTTGTTAAGCCTCTGTAGGCCTTCTACGTGTCTTGGAGACAGCTTATTAAATTAGTGCTTTTCCATACATCTTTCAGATAAAATACTAATACTTTTGCCTTCTTTTTTTTTTGAGGACAGACTGAGGCTACCACGTGGTGACAGTCAGAAGATCAGGTGCTGTTGCCTTTGGCCTCTCCAGTCTGAAGCAAGAACTTCTAGGTTTTTCAAAAACACTATAATATATAATTTACTTTATCAAAAAATAGTATTCTGCCCTTTAGATATCCCTTAAATGCATGTTTTTCTGTATTTCTTATAATGAATCACATGGCTGTCATTTCCGTTCCATCTCCAGCCATTCAAATTATGTTTGCTATTAATGTGCTTGAATAAATAAAATTAAATATTAAGAGTAACTATGACACCATGTACTTGTATAATTATTTAATTAATTTGGTGAATTATTAGTATATTACCTTCAGCAATGCAAGAGGAGTTGCAGAAGTTTCTTTCAGAAAAAGAACTATGAGTCTCCTGTTGCGTCATCCAAGGACCACCTGGTCCATCATTCTGTTTCCATGTGTAGAATACAGCATCTAGTTTTCAGAAGTATACAGCCTCTATTCTCAGAAAGGGCAGTACCTTAATGATACCCAAGTTTTTAGCATTTAAAAAAGTCAGATATAATTTTTCCACATTGCCATTTTTAACAAGTGAAGAGATCTGAGTTCATTGATGAGTCCTTTGCTTTGCATGAAGAATGTCTTATGTTGAATCCTTGCCATATTCTGTTTAGAAAAATTAGAGGTAATAGAGTCTTTTAGTGGAGACTCTGGGGAGTCCACTGCCAGTCAGAGTAGGTAATGCATACAATATCTGATGGAACACAGGTTTCTGTACAAATGGGTCCAGAAAAAACTGATCCCTCAGGAAAACAATATAAAGGGATTAGGGTAGCCTTAAGAGATAACTCGTAAAAGACAGTTTCATCTGTACATTATGACAGTTAAGGAATCTTCAGAGCAGCCATTGATAGAAGTTTTGAAATAGTCCCTGAAGTTTGTATCTTCTCCAAAACTGGACAAATAAATGCTACTTCCTGTTTATTCTCTTTATATAAATTATTCTTTCCTCATTGTAAATAGGATTGTGATGATATTTAATGTTCATTAATGTTCTCAGCTTCTCATAGCCAAGAATGACCTTGCCTTATTTATTTCATAGTATAGAGCAGGTTAATTAATTCAGGAAATGAGCAATCTCAAGCAATTCATATTAGATTCCATCTTAGGGTTTGAACTTCCTGTTAATGTTCCCCTGTCACATTGATTCATCTGCAGCGTTACCTTCATTTGTAGCACATAGATTTAAAAGACACTTGCAGAGAGGTAGGTATACTTGTCCTCTGTGACAATTAGTTGTATTGATTTATTGGAAAACACCTGCACATGGCCAGGTTGTATGATCTGTTACTTGGTAAAAGTTTTTATTTATTCCCAAGCTAAAGGCAAGTGGCAGCATCCTACTGTATCTTCCTAATAGCAGTAATATTCTTCCTGTTTTCCGGCTTAGAAATTGAGGCTGAGATGGAAGGCCTAGCTCTGGTCAGGGCTTGAGTGGGAAACCATCTCAAACCCAGTTTAAGATCTCCTTTAGTTTCATAATGGAAGAAAGGCGGGTTTTAAAGATAAAACATCACCTGTGAGTGAATAGTTCCAATATAAGTCATTGCTACTTTACAGGAGCCCAAATATGTAGATACTATGCTCACATCCCCATCCTGGTCATTACAGCATTCCTTATTCCAGCATTAATATTGTTGGGGGCTTGATGTATTTTCTAAATGCTGTTGATTTTGTTCACCACTCTGTGTAAAGTATTTGAAATTATTTTCACTGGCTTTTAACTATCTCAGAAAGTGCATGGTAACTTAATAAAGAACTATCAATAGCATGTATTTTAGTAAAATAGAACATTTGTTTTGCTGTATTTGTGGCAAGTGTTGTCAAAGGGTTATGTCTTAAGACTTTCCTAAGAATTAATTGGTTTTATAGGTAGGAGATGCCTCATCTGCATTTAATAATGGAGGCATTTTTAAAAATTCAAGTTGCAATCTGGGAATGTTTTGGTTTTCGTAGCTGAAGCTTGATTCTTTAGGAGGAGGAACATGGATTGTTAATACTCAGAAAACCTTGGTAGTGGTATAATACTGATCCTTGGAAAAGGCCAGTGAATCTTTCTACTGTTGTTTATATTTCTGTTTTCCATCCCCAAGACTAAGTCCTCCCTAATTTTTTCTTCCATTTTCCAGAAGGCAAGGTGGCTTTGACTTTGGTTTAAAAATGCTACTCTTCACAAGGAAAAAAGGTTACTCTGTTCCCATGTTTTGGACTTATTATCTGCTTTTGAAATATGATCACTTTGATAAATCCAGTGATCAATACAATATGCCTTTGTAATTCTCAGAAGCTATTGAAGTTCAATCTATGGAATACTTCCATGTTGAATGATACTTTATAGACCTTTCAGATATTTATTTCTGGAATAGACTGAAATAAACTGTTGGACTAGAACCCTTAAATGTCTAGCTTTTTTGAGAAGGTCTGATTTTATGAGCATTTGGTTTCAAGTTGTGTACGCTGCAGGCCTGCCCAACATACAGCCTGTGGGCCCCAAGCAGTCTTGTGCAGCCTGCCAATTTTTTTAAGTAGTAAATTTAGAGCTGCCACTGCTGCCAGCTCTAGTGCTTCCACTGCTCCTCTAGCCGTGGAACAGCTGATCAGCACTTCCGGTATTTCTGTGCATGAGGCTTTTCTGTGTTATCAGTGTGGCCCTTTTCTCTTGATGAGTTGTGCAGGCCTGGTGTACAGCAGTAACCAGCACCTTAACATATGGCAGATTATCTTTCTGCAGAAAAACATCCAAAATCCAAAATTTAGATCCCATCAAATTATGAAATTTAGTGTGGTTGTCAACATCCTTAATATATTCAAATTGTGGAATCAACTTTAAAATTAGGAAAAATTTGGCCCTTTAAGTTTAAAGGTCCAACAGCAGAGCCCCAAAATTAGTTGTTCCCAAAATTCTGATTCTAAAGAGAACTACCCTTCATTTTTATGTCCTAGTTTAGGAGGGTCTCAGTTGGACCAGCATACTTTTACAGTGGCTTTCACAAGCCACCCACTAATACGTTTTAGGTTCTTACTGCACTTTTGATTTTGATTTTAAGGCATTGTGTTGTATTACTATTTTACAAATTGTTGCATGAGTTACCAGGGGAGAAGCAATATTCCAATATTTTAATATTGAAATCTTTTTTCCTTGATGACTAATTAAATGGTAGCATAATGGTAGTACAGTGAAACCTTCATTTATTAACTGACTTTGTATACAATGGAGCAAGTTTCCATGGACAATTTATATCATTTGTGTAATGACATCACTTAAATGATGTAGTTAGTATGATGATATCATGTGAAGGATGTAAATCGCTACAATGACTTACTTTCTGTTTCATCAACAAATTTGTGAATAACAGATGCCCTCTCCCGCCAATTAATCCCTTAAAACAAGTTTTCAGTGTAGTTTACCTCATTCTTCCTCCCTCTTCAGATCACATAATCATCAGGATCATACTGCCTTTGAATCAGAAAAGTAGCAATCCATCATTGCCACTTAGTTGTTTTACAAAGCTTATACAACACCAAGCTCAGTAAGTCCATATATTAAAATAAAAATATAGAAATCAATCCCTTCAAGCCAAAACTCAGCAATAACTATAAATAAAAATAAAATGTTGACCTATCCATAATGTCAACAAAATCCATAAAAATTATGTACCAAATGCCCAATTAAAGAATATGGCCTTCAGTGCCTTGCAAAATACACAGAACGCAAGATGTAGCTCTGGAGCACATAGTGTTCCAAAAAATGGGGTCACTGCAGTGATAGATTGTCTTGGGGTCCACATACGCTTGCTGCGAAGCAGGGAGGGGATCCTAAGTCTCCAAATGTGCGTACATAGGCTGGATAGGTTCTGCTTGGAGGATCTAGCTGGAGCCATTGATAGCCTTACCTTCAATAAATTTTCTAATTCCTGGTTCACAAAAAAATGAGATTGGAGGAGGAGAGCCATGTTAGTCTATGAAAGCAAAAAATCAGGAAGAGTCCGATAGCACTTTTTCCAACTAACAGATTTTATTCAAAGGCATAAGCTTTTGTGAGTTGCAGCTTATGAAAATGTATGCTTTTAATAAAATTTGTTACTCAGAAAAGGTGCTGTCAGACTCCTGAAAAAATGTGAGAGTTAGACAGCATTGTTAATTCAGTGATGCTGTTTAAGTTCTCTCTTTCTTCCATCCTCTTACCCCTTCCTGTGCAGTGAATTACATGGACGTGTGATCTTTCCCCTCTGGAGAAAAAAAAATGAAGTGCTAAGAAGATTCCCTGAAACTCATACATGTAACTCCAGAGAGAGCTGATGCTGAGACTAATAAATAACCATCTTGTGTAAGTGGAGAACACTAAACATTCTGCACTATTTATTTTTGTGGGATCAAGTGACCTACCAATCAGAGCTTCTTCCATAAGATACACTTCTAAGATTTAAGGAATTCTGGGCACTTTTTCCCCCTCAGTCTCCATGTTAATGTCCATCAGGCTTTATCTCAAGTTTCCATCACTTCATCTGCTTTAGTTCCAGGAATAACTTTGTTGCTGCTACAAGTGAACAGTTGGGTAATCTACTGTATATCACTCAGAAATCTATCTTCGTACCACCTCTGGTGTTGATTAATTCTTCAGTATCTTAATTTATGTGCTGTTTTGCCCATTTGGGTCCAAAAGGCTTAATTTTGCCCATTTGGGTTCCAAATATCTGCCCCTGCCCTTCCTGGGGGGCCACAAATAAGATGTGGCAAAGCTTTATATAGGCTCCTTACTCCTATCGTAGACAATTCATATGTCTAATTTCAAGCTTGAATATCTAGGCCTTAATCTTCAGGGGGCACTCTGAACAGTTCCTTCCCATTTGATTTGTGGGTAAACTTGTTTTCTTATAACATACTTATTATATGAAGCTTTCCAAATGTTTAGTGAATTTAGCACATTCCTCCACCCTAATTAAAATGGAAGGTGCTTTGTCTAAAACGGTGTTTTATGTTTGCCAGTGTAAGGAGGGCATATATTTCCCATCCTTTCTTGCTTGAACCGCAGCATTTCTGGAAGGGACCATGGATCAGGCCAGTGGGAGAAGCTTCATGCAAGTTCTTTGTGAAAAATACAGCCCAGAAAACTTCCCATATCGCCGTGGTCCTGGAATGGGCGTGCACGTCCCAGCGACACCTCAGGGTTCACCTATGAAAGGTACAGTTTTGACTGCATTTTTCTTCTTGCAGAAATGTGCTCTTTTGATTTCCCTAGAGAAGGGCTTGATCAAAAGGATTAAAATTCATTATTTTTACTCTTTGTTTTCCCTCTTATGTGTGAAGAATGAAAGGGAAGCTTGAGTTTCTTTCCTGACTGCAAAGTATTTCTGTCTGCACTGACTGCATACGTTCCCTTCACCCACCCACCCCCATCCCAATTTTGAATTCCTGTCAGGTTGTTTGTATCACAGACATCCCCAAAGAGGAAATACAAGCAGGTTATTTGGGTGGAATTGACAGTAACTGAATTTGACAGAAAAGAACAAAAATAAGTTGAGCCAGTCAGGGACAAAATGTTCTGCGTGTCACTCAGAATTAACCTTTACAGGGTCACCTTAACAAAAAGTTTTCTGGTTATTCTTCTAATGTAATGTCTCCATTCAACTACCTCAAAATGATGGAAAAACTATCTTGGCCCTGAGACAAGGTTACGTTTTTATTAAAATGCTTATATCCAGCAAAACGCTACAGTATATGCCACAGCATACTGCTGCTCCCTTGTTCAGCGTGCATACCTTCATTGCCCTTTTCTAATTAGCAGTTTCCCAAATAAAAAGGTCAGGTTACAGTTTTCTTTATGCTGATGATCATTGCAATTTTCCCAGGAAAGCACATTTTATATGGAGAGGTAAGATCTTTGTACACGCTTACGTCTTTCATATTGTCTCCAAAGTTATTAAGAAGATCATTTTGTTAGATGTTGGTAATTTTTTCCAGAGTAATTCAGTGGCTCTAATTTCTGAAACATCAATACTTCTTCTGAAGAACCTACTGGAAATATCGCTGAGGTATATGATAAGGAACTATGAAACCAGCTCAAGGACATTAGTTGGTGTCCATCAAATGAAAAGTTGAGCCTAGAAGAGGAAAGGATGCATAGGAGTAGTTTATCCTAGGGTCATCTTCTGACATAGTTACCCTGCACTGAATAATCACGTTAATAAGCTCTTAGGACATTCTAATTTACAAGTTTTAAGTATTTAAGAGTCACTTTTCATTGTCATCCAGCAAAGAGCATCATGGGCTGCATATTAATAAAATGCTATATTTTAAAAACAGCCATATCACGTATAGTTCATCAAACAGCATAAATGGGATCCCATTTTTATAAGGCAGTTTTTCATGTATTCTGGATCAGTTTTTGCTTGGATGGACAAGTGATACTTTGCTCTAACAAAAATGAGACAATCCTTCAGAAAAGCATCCTGTCGGTTCTGCTTTTTCAGACCGTCTCAACCTGCCAAGTGTGCTGGTGTTGAACAGCTGTGGAATCACCTGTGCAGGAGACGAGAACGAGATAGCTGCCTTCTGTGCTCATGTATCTGAACTGGATCTTTCTGACAATAAACTAGAAGACTGGCATGAGGTAAAATAGCTTATGTGAACTTCATTCTGAGTAGTAACAAGAACAGCTGTCTTTGCTACAGGTAGAGTTGGCTGTTCCAGATGGATTCACATGTGCATCTGGAATTATTAGAGCAAATGTCCTTGCCTGGGGTAATCCAAGGACTCATTATCTGGAAAGTTTAGTACTTTCTCCTCCTTCCATTCCTTCTCCCACCCTCCCCAAAGCTCAAGCTTTCTCCTTTCAGCAGGCCACCTCTTCTTTCTTGCTCATTGCTCAGCTGGAAATTCCCTTTGGAGCTCCCAACATCAGCTTGTTGCCTTTAGCCATGGCTTCTAAGGTTTCATAATCTCAGCTACCATCCAAGAATGGGAAAGAAGACATCCTCTGTTCTGGTGCCGTGTTTTCTTTCTTTGGGGACTGTCAGTGTGTCCATACCCGCGTTAGAAAGATGGTTGGACTGGGCCAGGGGAGACCTAGTTTCAAGCATATCCTCCTCGTAAAAGCTTGCCAGATGACCCTGGGCTAGTTATACTCTCTCAGCCCAGCCTACCTTACCCAGGGCTTCTTGAGGGGATAAAATGAAATGAGATCCCTGTGTAACTCACCCTGAGCTTTTGGAGGAAAGGTAGAATGTGACTTTAACAAATAAATGTAAAGTCCTAATTGTTAATGAAACTCCTTGGTTCTCTTAATTCTTATAGCAGGCAGTAAGATTGGTTATATGATCAGGAAGAGTTGTAAGTCTTTTGCAGCTTAGAATTTTAATAGATCCCAGTGAATCTCATTATTGTTATCCCTCTTTTAGCCCATGCATCTTCAAAAAATGGATTCATGTTTGCTCAAAAATTTGCAGTGATTGTTCTAAATGTTCTCCAGCAGTTTGCATATGTGTTTTCCTCCACATTTCCTGTGCATGAGTGCTGCAGCGAGGCTTTTCACTGTAAGAAGAAGCAAAAAAAGAAGAGATGTTCCTTTGCCTTTTGGCCACTGACCCACCATGAATTTTTCACTCTCAAATGATAAAAGAATTAGAAACTTGTTCATGGGGGGGGGGACCACAAACATTAATCAATTTCAGGGATCAAAAATCTTTGCTAAAATGGTATTTGATGCATGCAAGATTGCAGAAAAGATGGGTAGCCCTGGATAAAATAGTCCTTTGACAAAATGTTGGCTCTCGTAAGTTATTTATTTTCTATAGTTGCTGTTCTTTTCTTTAGAAGCCTGCCAGGTATCTGCCTTTTTTCCCTTATCAAGTCTTTTTAAGGGTGTAATTAACTGAACTATTGAGGGGAACAAGCAATTAACCAATCAATCTAAATCAGCAAATAGCTACAGTATGAATTACAGATAACTATCTTGAATGCTGTTAGAATCTGAATCATTCTTCAACTCAGTGAAGTGCACTGGAAAGGTTGGGGTTTTTTTTAAAATATTATTTGAGATCTGATTACTGCCTTATAATAGTTTTTTTTTCCTCTTCTTTCTCTCCCAGGTCAGTAAAATTGTGTCAAATGTCCCCCACTTGGAGTTTCTGAACCTGAGTTCCAATCCTCTGAATTTGTCAGTTTTAGAGAGGAGGTGTGCTGGATCTTTTGCTGGTGTTCGCAAACTCGTGCTCAACAATAGCAAAGCTTCCTGGGAAACAGTCCATACCATACTGCAAGAATTACCAGAGTAAGCCTAGAGGAACAGAGTAGGAAAAGGGGCAGATTTGGAGGGTTAACTGACAAGAGATATTAAGGAATACAGCTGTTAATCTCAAAACACAACCAAATTCCTAGAAATAAAAGTGGGCCTTCAAATCGCCTTCCACCAGACTAGTTACTGGACATGGCCCTCAAAAATGTGTTATCTGTTTTGACTGTTTGAATCCTGCAGAGTGGCTACATTTTGCACCAGCTGACAGATTCAAATTCTCTCCAAAGGAAGTCCAACCTAGAGTTCATTACAATGACTTAGTTTAGATCTCGCTGCATATATTCCAGTTAACACTATTTGGTCCCCTGTTTTGTTTGTCTGTTTCCATGTGCATCTCTGTGTTGCTGTTTTTAATTTTGTACTAGTGGCTATATTTCCATCAATTTGTTACTCTACAAATTCATGGAAGAGTTAAGTCACTCTACAGAAGCTAGCAGCAAGGTTTTACTAGCCTGTTTGGCTACCAGGATTTGTACTTTAGCCCAAAAGAAGGAAAGCGAAGGAGCTCCCTGTCTGATTGCCTGGACATGATTTTAACAAAAAGCTGTGATTTGTTTGTTTATTAGATTTTATCCCACCTTTATTATTTGTTATAAATAATTCAAGGTGGTGAACATACATAATACTCCTTCCTCCTCCTTTTTTTCCCACAACAACCCTAGTGACTATGGCAACTTCCTGTCTTATTGTAATTGTATTTTCATGTTCCTTAATGGTGTTCCAAGAGGTTCAATCTCCATTATTTAGTTGTTCTACCTTATAGTAACTGTAAAATACATCAGTATGGGATGCTGATTTAAGATTATAGTTTGACTAACACAGTAAAGTCTCAATTTAATGGACTGCTTGGGGAAAGTGTTCTCCATTAAATCTGAATCTCCATTAAAACTAATTTGACATAGTCTGTGTCATTTGTGTGAATTAACCTCCCTTTGCATAATTGACATTAATGCCATAAATTGTCACAAATGATGTAAATTACATCAATTGTCTAGATTGAAAATTTGAAGTAAAGTTTGGCCCATTGCATCTGTAGTTCGCTGAACAAAGATGTGAAAAATCAAGATTTTCCTGTGATTCAATTTGAAGACCCCGGAGTTTTAGCAACTACACACTTTCACCATAACCTCCAGCTTTAACTTGACCTGACATATTTTATAAAATGAGATGATAGAATTGACTAAATGATGATGGGTGTAGGTATGCTGGAAAGCTTCAGTATGTCCTATATACTGGCAGTGCAGTAGACCAGGCAAAGAATTAGATTCTGTAATATGCTAGCTTTCTGTCTGCATAGATTTCTCTTCATCAAGGAGTATTCAATAGTATGCCCCATCCGTTAGGCAGAGTACATTACAAAGCCACTTGTGGTTTGTGTAGATCTATCTATTTCCAAGGTTTTAGACCACATTCGGACAATATTTTTGAACCATTACTAAGCTGCCTAGTGCACTTATCTCTAAATTTATCTATCAAATTAACAGATAGTACCAATAGGGTAGTCTATGTTCTGCTTTTCTGCTCTTCAGTTATCAGATCAAAGAGCTTGCTAATGGACATTCTGGCTTTTGACTGAGACTAAGTGGAGGGTGTGGAGAGTCTGCAGGACGGCTTCCAGTTAAAGGTTCCATTACATATTTTATAAGGCCTGGGATGTCTGGCAGAGACACTGGCTCCATCCAGCTTGGCAACTATGTTTTCCTTAATGTAGGACCAAAGCTTATTTAATCCAACCTTCTGCTCTCATGCTAACTAACCAGATGCAGATGCCTTCAGAACTCCAGAGATGGGATATAAGGGCAGCAGCCTTCTCCAGCAATTTTTTCCTAGCAGGAAATGTTTGGGGATGCTTTGTCTGTTACTGGAAGTAATATTTATATAGCCATATTTTAAAGCTAATCAGTGTGTCTTTTTCTTAAAACCACCATAACTTTATTGCATAGAGATGTTGCTGCACATTTTAATTGTAATTTTCTCCCTGCAGCTTGGAGGAACTTTTCCTGTGCCTTAACGACTATAATACAGTGTCTTGTTCTCCAGTTTGTTGTAACTCTCTCAAATTGCTCCACATAACTGACAATAATCTTAAAGACTGGACTGAAATCCGGAAGCTGGGGATAATGTTTCCATCACTAGATACTTTAGTTCTGGCCAATAATTATCTGTCAACCATTGAAGATTCAGAGGATTCCCTGGCAAGGCTATTCCCAAACTTGCGTTCCATCAGTCTGCACAAGTCAGGTGAGGCCTTGAAAGAAATACAGTGTAAGAATACAAGAGGCCTGTTGGATCAGACCAAAGGCCTAGCTCATCCAGGCTTTGGTTCCCAAAGTGCTCATGTGGATACCCTGGAAAGCCCACAGAAACATCCTTCTGTTTGTATTTCCTGGCTATTGGTATGACGAGGCACACTTCCTCCAGAACGGAGCTAAATTACGGCCAGCAGGAGTAGGAGCCGTAAATCATCCTGAGAATTTTGCCTCATCTCCATCAAAAGCCATCCAAATTGGTTGCCTACACTGTGTTTTTTTTTAAATTGTGATTCCCATAGTTCCCATACGCTCTGTAATGCTTCCTTTGCTTCATGGGGAATCTCTCAACCATTTGATCGTGTATGAACCAAGAATCTGGTATTACGAAAAAGATAACTTTATTATCCATTTTCATCATGCTGTACTGTACACAGTTTTTAGCAGTTCTTTCATGGCATTAGCTTTCAGTGAGCTTTTAAGGCTTCTTGCGCACGTAATGACAACAGAGTTGGCAAGGAGGTAAGCTCTTGAAGATTTACATTTCTTTTATTGCTCATTCCTAAATTAAACCTCACCACTTTTCTCGAGCAGGGAAATATTTTTCAGCATCTCCCTTTACGCGTTCCTAAAGTGTGATGTCACCGTCCTGTGAAGTTTAATCAAATTAACCATCGGTGTAGTAGCCATGTCAGCTTGCTCTGGATCGTTTATTGTCACAGAATTAGAAATGGGAAAGAACGTTGGCCAGGTCTAAGTTTTTAGAGAAATGGGGGTGAACCGACTTCAGCATCTGAAGCTCCATTGCTCAAGAACTCAGCGCTTCTCTGGGAAGAAATGTATCATTATTCCTTAAGAATAACTCCATCCAAGTGCTTCCAGATATGTGAACTGTAAGGTACTGCGACTCCACTAGATGATGATAACAGGGTTTTTCGGATTTATTTAACTCACTACATTTTTACTGCTGGAAACACAAGAATACTGTATACCATAAGCCAGAGCCCTCCCCAGGGATGATGGGAAATCTAATCCAGTATGTGTGGGTAGGTTTTTGCTGTGTTGCTACCAAATTGTATCCGTTTCTTTCTGTAATTAATAACCAGCTTCATTGGAGCAGCAGACAAAGGTGGGAATGGAATGATATTGTCAGAGGGCGAAGTTAATTGAACAGCGCCAAAAATTAATCTAACTTTTAAAGGCTGACATTTTAAAGAATAACAAAATCAAATTTCCGGGTAAGTATAAGATGCAGTAGGGATAACTCTGTGTTAAAATATCATTCCCTGAGAACAGTAATTTTCTATTACATTTGAGAGATGTTTAGTAGAAAAACATTTGAAAATGCGTGATTGCCTAAAGTCTGAGCCATTTGTTTCTCTGTTCTGTTCCTCATCTAGTTTTGGCCTGCAAATAATTTTCACGCAAGCACAACTTTGGCCTATGATCTGTTGTATCTTCCTTTTGTCTGCTTTCCTTGCCTGAGCATCTCCTTTCTTTAAAGCAGGTCTGAATTCCTGGGAAGATGTTGACAAACTTAATTCTTTCCCCAAGCTTGAGGAAGTGAGGTTACTGGGCATCCCTCTCCTTCAGCCATACACCAATGAGGAGCGAAGAAAGCTGGTAATAGCCAGGTCTGGAGATTTTTGTTGTACAATTATAATACGATTAAACATTGTGTGACCTCAGTCTAAGGTGCTCAGTCTCAGAGAAGGAATTGGAAGGTATTGGACTTTGGTAACTTCACAGCTTTGTGAGTGAATCAAGAAGATAAGGGGGAAAAAACTATATTGTGAATTAAAATTGTTCCACGTAATATAAATGGCAGTGGACTGATAGACCACTTTCTGAATAGCCCTATTTTAAAGGACTACTAGTAACAGCATTGGGAAGGTCATAGAGCTGTCATAGTTGGAGGCTGTTGAACCCTTGTGCCCATTTTTTACTTGATTCCTGGGCATGCCAAATTACTGCAGACTTTATTAATTTATTTAAAACCATTATCTACCATTTCCTATTAAAAAATCTCAGTGGTTTGCAATACAATTGATCCCCTCTGTCTTCAAGTCTAGACTGATTGCCTGATTGCCTAGACTGATACATTAAAAAGACTAGTAAAGCCCTAATCTTAGATGAGTCACTTAATTTTGCAGTTCAGTGTATCACTTCACAGCTTTGCAGGCAGGGAGATGTCTCAATGTGGCTAAGGACTGGAACTAAGATAAGTTTTGTCAATCCTCGGTAAAGAGGGAAGACCCTACCAGTGGGTGCACCTTGCAGTCTTCCTCTCTGGTGTACCTTTTTCATGTTTTGCAAAGAGAATACATTAGTCGTGTGTATGCTGGTTATCTCCTCACTGAAATCTCAGAAGCTACTGATGACAGATGTTAAATTAATTGTTGAAAAGTTTAGAGACAGTTGCTTGAACTGTGATCTAGCTAATTTGAAAGAAAAAAACTCTGATCCAAATTCTGCAGCTGCACATTCATTATTTTTTTTAGTATTTGAAATACCTAAAGCATTTGTGTCTGTAATCAGGTTGTCCTTTTGGTACCTGAGAGTCAGCTATCTTTCTGTTCATATTCTCAGAGTCTGGAATGATTGGAGTGACATACAAGCCTAGGAAATACAGGAAGTCAGAGACACATACTGTATGTAATACTGTAGGATAGTGAAGCAGTAAATAGCAAATTTCTAAGCCTTTTCTTAAGCTTACCAGCATCTTACAAAGTGCCTTGGAAAGTCCACAAGAAGGAAGATGTTTAGAGAATTGTCAGATACATTTATAATCAAATTGTAATGCACAATTTTAAATCAACTCCTCTGTGTAGAGCCTATAAAAATGCAATTTCTCTGACAGCTATATTTTTGGGTGTCAGATTCTGCAAGAGGAAATCTCCTGAGAAGATGATATTTGCTGCTGACTATTAAATTTGGGGATTTTTTTTTCCTTGTTCAGATGTTAACATTTTCCCTTCTTGTATGTGGCAGGCTACCATCGATCACAAAGCTGAACGGAAGTGTCATAATAGATGGAGAACGAGAAGACTCGGAGAGATTTTTCATTCGCTATTATATGGACTTTCCACAAGAGGAAGCCCCTTTCAGGTGAGAGGTGCCCCAGAAGTTTGTGGAATGACAGCATAGTTTTTAAGAATATAAATTGAGATGCCCCCAGTCCAGAATTTTGCCTCTAACTCACTCACCTGGTAATCTTAGGCAAGCTACAGAGCCTCACTGTATCTCATTCATCTTTACTATGGGTCTCGTATATATTACTGACTTATCTTGCACGATTGTTGCAGACACTGCAGCACAAATGAGTAAATTACCATTTGAACAACTGCAGTTATCGGTAAGCAATTCCACACTGATGAAAGACAGTAAATAACAGACAAAGGCTGAATACTTTATTACTGGTATTTGTAACACATTGTTAATGAATAATTAAGAGTACAATCAAGCTTTTGCTGTCATGAAGTTTGCAATCTAAAACAGGTATCAGGGAAACAAAGGGGTAGAAGGAGAAAACTGAGTAGTTAATGTGCATGCATACAGCTTAGTTAAATATTAGAAGGGGGAGCTAAAGCAAATAGGGAAAGAGTTATAACAATGGAATACCTCACATGCATGGGCACATGCAAAATTTATTGGATTTTCAAGTATTAGACCCTTACTTCCCCTTCCTAAAGGATGCATTATGACTTTCGAATACGTGGTATCTTGAACACTAAACATCATTGCGTTTCCTGTGATTTTGGTTTGGTTTTGCCTCAGCAATTTTTTTCTATCGGTTCCCAACAGGTTTATGCAGAAGGCAAAATTGCCTTTAGTTTCCCCCCTCCTCCCTCTACCTCCACCCCTTTATAGCCTTTGAACAACTCTGGGTTTCCCTCCCCCATCCACATTGTTCAATGGCCCCTTTGTCCAAATGCCCTCATCTGTGTGGGGTCTTTAGGAGACTGGTGCCCTCATTAGAGGCTGCCTTTCCAGTCCACCATACCAATGTGCCATTTCAGATTTCAGGGGGCTGTGAATAGCTGAGCTGGTGCCCCCAGCGAATCAAGATTCAGGTTCCACATCCTGCATCTTTAGCTCATGCTTGATGTTCATTCTGTGACTCCCCCCCCCCATAACTCAGTTTCTTTCCCCTTTTCCTTCTCCAGCCCTGATTACAACCATCTTTCCTCCCCACTTTCTAGGCTTAGGTTCTTTCTCTTTTCTGCCCTTCCATGATTTATATGTCACTTTCTAGGGCCACATCCTCAAAACAATTAGTATCCTTTGACAATAAGATATTAATTACATCACAGTCTAATAATCCGAAAAGGAGTTAATTTTTTCTAATTTTGCAACCCTGATGTCTAAGGTATTAATTCAGCAGATCTTTACAGCCTGCTTAAAATTGCCACGCGTATTTCAACTGCAATAGAATTGCACAAGGATGAGATTACAGATGAAAAGATCTGTGTTGTTTCTGCCCGCTTAAATGTTCTTGCTGGATCTGGAGTCAAAACTATGACACAGCTACAATAAAAATGAGCTTAAAAGTCCTACAGTGTGGGAGCCTGGATACAGTCATAGTTAAGATGCTGAACTAGGGCCCAGTGACCACAGAATTTACAGAGTGGCTTTGGGCCAATTACTCATTCTTAACCCAACATTGTTTAACAAAATTGTACCTTTGGGGGTGAAATGAGTGACCTTGTGTGTACCAGCTTGTGTTCCCAGAAAGACAGCAGGATGTTAATTTAATAAATGGAAACTTCTTCATTTTGGGATACAAATTAGCTTTAAACAAAAAAAAAGATTTCAGCAGTTTTTAATCCAGTTGAGAAAAATAGTTTATAGCCCCCAATAATTCTGCACGTTTCTTAGCTTTATTCATTTCATCTGGAGAGAAGGTACAGTTTTGGCATTAGATGGGAGTAGGAGAGAGAAGAGGTGTGGAGTCTCCAATGCCCTTGGAAGTATGTATTTTTGCTTTGATTACCATGAGATTTCTGCATTCCGGAAGCAGAATTTGCAGTAACTTCAATGGAAACCAAAGCCTTTTCAGAGCTCTGCTGGACAAGCCATGGACCCCATAATACAAGACGTGACAGAATGGCCGGAGGTGTTGAAACTCATTCTGGAAAGCTCCGTTTCCCTTTCCACTATTGATTTAACTGCTGTCAGCCACCACTGTGTTCAGAAAATGCTTCTTCCTTATCTCCTGAGTCATTGTTACCCAAATGGACCAAGTTTTGTCTCCATGTTAATTGCAAGGCCAGGGCAGCAGCTTGTCCTCTAAACACTCTGCCTCTGTGAAGGTCGGTTTTGTCCAAGATGCTGGGGAAACCGTAGTGCGCCGCACTGGTCACCTCATATTGCAGACAGACAGAGACTCTGCTGTTAATGGAATATTCTTACCTTTAACAAGAATCCCCTGGGGGCCTCCCTCCCTGGTTGCAGGACTCCATCATCCTCTGACAGGAGCAATGACACAGCAGTGATCACGTTTTCTGCCCGAGCCAACAAGGAAACAAAAGGTGCTTTCAGTCACGGGCATCACTTAGAGACTCTGAAATGTTACCTCTTCTTAACCACTCTTTGTTTTTGTCTTTTCAGCTACTTGGACTTTGGGCTGACTTTTTGCCACTTTCCCAGCCCAGCAGAAGAGATGCTCCTTCCTCATTATTAATGAGAGATACCTGAAAAGTTGGGGAGGGTTGGGGGGGCAAGGAGCAAAGACACAAATCTCTAACCAGGAGCATAAACAAGAGGGTGTTTATCTCTTGGAGGGTGAAGAAACTTGCTGAACGGGTTCGTGGCCATCCAGACAGGCGCTGCCCCATTTTTTTCATTCAGTCTTGCCCTCTGTTTGCAAATGCCATAACGAACGAAATTCAGATCTACATGTTGCAGGCAGTATAAAGGAAGAAACTGAACCAAAGTTACTTAATTAATAGTTGTCAACATTTCAGCTTGGCTCTGTTCCTACAGGCTAATACAGCAGGACTCACTCTGCCAATGAATGAGTACTACTAGCAGAAGAGAGATTGGGGGACCATCTCATTTTTTTTTTCTAGCCCCTGCCAATGAAACTTTACCTCTGCAGCATTCAGCAGGATGGATTGGCAGGACCGTGTTTAAAGAACTACTTCTGCAGCAGTTTATTACAGAGCTACCGCAATAATTTATGCACCTTGAGAATTTGGAATTGCGGTGGTGCTATCCCTAAATGTATGTGATCTACCACATTTGACTTTGTCTCCGCTGGGGCATCACTCCAGTGAAAATACTGGCTGATTGAGCTATAGCCTGACACCTCTGGCAAGTTTCGGGAAATGCAGATGGTGCTATGTCTTGAGTCAAAACATTATGGGCCAGAATTAGAGATAGCACAAGCCACTGGCCTTCAGTTGATTGTAATGCCCAATACTTCATTCTTTAAAAACTCAAAACAATGTGGATCCAGGATCCTTAAAGTAAACCTCCTCTCAGTTTATTCTTTAATCTCTGACAAGGCCTTTTTTAGTTTATAAGGCTGATCATTACATTTTCTACAGTTGCACCTGGGTCCTGAAACTACACACAAGTGATGCGTTCAGCCCCTTCACTGTTAATTTTCTGGCTGCAAGTAAATACAATTTACTTTAAGGAGCATTTTAGGTCTTAGCTTGTACAACACACAAAGAGCAAAACTGACATTCCAGTTGCTAAAAAGTCCTAAAAGAGTTGAGTTTCTCAATTTTTTCCAGTTACATATGATATTGCTAGTTGGCTTTTGTACAAGGTTTGTATAAAATGCCGGAAATAGATGTTTTAATAAAGTAGTGCAACTTTTTCTTCTGTCTCCCCACCCCATTTCGTAGGTATCATGAACTAGTGACAAAATACGGGAAGCTGGAAAAGCTGGCTGTGGTCGACCTGAGGCCTCAGAGTAGTGCCAGAGTGGAAGTTCACTTCAAAGATCAAATGAAGGAGATGACCATCCGCTTGGATCAGACGGTGGCGGAACTAAAGAAACAATTGAAAACAGTGGTCCAGCTGCCAACCAGCAGCATGCTTGTCACCTACTTTGATCACGAAGCTCCTTTTGGCCCCGAAGAGATGAAGTACAACTCAAGGGCACTGCATTCTTACGGCATTCGGGATGGAGATAAAATCTATGTGGACTCCAAAACCAAGTAGCCTCTCTGCTCCAGTAGGCCCGCTCCAGAGTGCGCATCTGCCCCACGTACACGATCAAGGGACTTTCTGATGGGGAGTTTCATTTGGGTTCATCGGTTGAGATTTGGTTTTTAGAGGTGTATCGGATCACTTCTCTAGCCCAGGTTAGCAGGCCCAGATCTGTGAGATAAGTACCAGGATTCAGCGCAGATTACAGTCAGGATGATTCTAAGAGGAGTGACATGAAGCAGGTGTGCTGTTTTCCTTTGGTATCTCCCAGCTGCTCCAGTATACTTCTGAATGTAGCATGAAAGGCTGTCTTCAAAGCTTGGAGGTTATTACAGTTCAGCCAGGGAATTCAGGCTTCCAGCATGCATAAACGTAAGGTATGTGTAAAAAAGATTCTGTGGGGCTCTTGTTCACTTGGCAGTTGGACTCCAATTACAAACGGCTGCGCTGCTGTCCCTTCACCTGGGTGGTCTGTTGTTTCTTTCTTCATGGAAGACCTTTTGGAAGTAAAGGTTCTTCAAGGAGTGTTCTATCAGACTTAGGCCTGCAGGATGTCCAGCAGCATTCTGGATTTCAGATAGCTGAAGGAGATAGTCTGAGAGGCACTTATATGCGTGTGCACACTGTGTCTCTTTCTCTGTCACACACACTCACAGACATACACATACCTACAGCTTCCAAAGTACAGTAACAAGGACACTACTAAATTGAATTCACTTAGATAACCATCCTGGTTTGCTAGTTCTCCAAGGTAGCATAGGTGGACCATCTCTGTACAGGGCACTTGGGTATTAAATGGATAGCGCTTTTATATACAGCCACTGTGTTGGGCAGCTAAGCAAAATAGGTGATGGTCTGTTTTATAAAAGTCGTTGCCTGCTTGGTTACTGAAGCAAACCACTCCTTTGATTCTGCCAGTTTACTAAAAGATCATGAATCCCTTACCTTGCCAGTATATTTTCAGTTCATTATTATTATGAATTGCACTTTACCTAACCTTTCTTCCAAGAAGCTAAGGGTAACATAAATGCTTCTTCTCCCCCTTATTCCCTGCAACCATAATTTCATCCTTACAATAAACTTGTGTGGTAGGATTAGCTGAAGGATAGACACTGGTTCTTATCAACTAGAAACCTCATAGCTAATTTTAACCCAAGTTCCAGAATTGGTATTAGCTATGACAGGTTTCCTAGGTGGAAACCAAAATCCAATACAGCTTAATTTATTTTTAGTCAATTTTAAGCCAGCGGAGGGATGCAAAACAAGTCCTGGTCCTCCAGGAAAGTTATCCCACTTGTTGGTTATTTTTATGCATGAGTCATTGTTCTGGACTTGTCCTTTTATAGCCCATGATTTGTGCAGCTCCAATAGTGTGAGCTACTGTTACATAATTTCAAAGCAATCCTTCGGTTTTAATTTTGGGTGTGCAGTGTGCTTCTGTAATCAGAACTTTGATAAACTGCTGGGAAGACTACATAAAATGCTTTCCACTGTTTTCATAGACTCCCAGTCTCTTGTACGGTTCTGCTTGGAAATGCATTAAAATTGTTTACTTTGTAAATCAGGCAGGTTTTGCCCTTCCTTCCTCATGTCAGTTTGACAAGTTGGAAACAGTTGAATCCATCCATTTGACACATGCATGTTTAAACATCCGGAGAGCCGGCTGATTCTTATTACCTGTGAACTTTTGACCTTAGTTGGTAGCTTTTATGCTCTGAAAGCAAGATTTTTCCACCACCTGATTCCACTACTCCCTCTTGGGGGCTTCCTTTTTATATAAATTGCAGAGTGTGCGGTTTCCCCACCCCCCCTTTCTAGTATCTATACTGTTGGAAACCAGAAGAAACTTCTTGTTTTCTCATTGGAAAGGGGACGTTACACTGGGAACGCTTATCCAGCCTCTGTACATTAAAGAAAGAGAGTGGCTTAGCAGAATACCATTAGGATCACCATCCCTTGTGAAGCCGCTGTTCTCCACCAGATTATATCTATTGGGCGTCACTCCAGAATAATGCGTTAGCTGGATTCTGGATTTTATAACTGTAGCAAGCTGAGGTTCTTTCCTCTCCATTTACTTAGCAAAATGCCCTTATGCTACCTTGTCATGGCATCCCAAATCAGCATTTTATTTATGATGGATGTGTGTGTGTGTGTGTGTGTGTGTGTGTGTGTCTTTACACATACTGTAATGGAGGAATATTCATCTCAATAAGATATTTTATTATAAACTAAAGATTTATGGAAAGATAGAATTGTATAATATACCACTATTTTATCTGTGGTCTTACTGTATAAAATACACTAGCCCCATAGTAGAGGTTGAAAGACCGGTTGGATGCAAAGGACCAGCTGATCAAATTCTGTGGAACAATATTTCTTATTTTCCTCCCCACTCCAGTGTTGATACCATGGTAATACTGTTCACTACCCATATATTTGGCATCTTAGAAGGAAATCTCCCAGGCAGTAAAGGGGTGGGGGGTGGGGGGACGGGACAGCAAAGGAATTCCACTGAAGATCCATATTTCTGTGTGTGTTGTTGAAAGAGGGTTAGTCTTAAATCCTAAACCTACCTTCCTTAACCTAGTGTCTCTTATGTGGCGACTTTTAGACTTCTGGAGAGCAGTAAGTTAGGGAAAAGCTGTTTTTAACTTGGAAATCTGCAGGTTACATAACTTAGGCAATTCAAGAGAGTTTGCTTGAGTTGACATTCTGCTAGATATAATGTAGAGAGAAGAGGGTATAACAAGACAGTCTTCATGCCCACCCCTTCGATTTTATTCAACCCTCCCCATTTTTTTAAAAAAAAAAAAAAAGTGAAATGCTTTGGAAGCTGAGGTCTGCATATAATTATGTCAGCTTTCTGCAGTTATGCAGAATTGGCACATAAGTATGGACAAAAACTGTCAGCATTGGGAGAAGCCAGGCTACATCCAATATTTAATCTTTTCATTAGGTATGTTACAGGAGGATAAAAGCAGCATGAAAGGAAGAGTAATACAATGGCGTTCTGCACAAATACCCTATTCAGCTATATTTTTGTGTTGGATTGAGCTGCTAAATCTATGGATCATCCTGGTTTGCCAATAGTACCAAATTCACAGCATTCTTCAACTTTCTATGTTCAACTCATAGTACTGATTGGTTCCCTGTTTGTGCTTTTTTAAATGCTGACTTTTTAAAATACTGTGTACTAAAAGGAGATGTCCTAGACATTGCCAATTTTCAACTCTGCTTTCATCGAGGGCTGATGTCACACTAGATTGTTTCTGAGTGGAAACTGATTTTGACCATTGGTGTTTTGCTAAAAAAAAAAAAAAAAGTGTTAACATTCAGTTCATTTTTGGCTATTCATCTGATGGGAACTGTCATGAACCAGATGCACAGCTGTTTGCTGTTGAACTTGTGAACTCCCCTTCATGCTAGAAGTTCCCTCTGTTGATAGTTAAAAGCTGGGGGACTAAATATTGAAGTGATTATTCGTATTGCCAGCCCGAATGGTCCATGCTCATCTACATCCAATAGATATCAAGAGCAAGACTATCGATTCTGCTGAAGCTATATTATGAACTGCAGTATCAAGTTTACAGTAGAGCAGTTGAGGCACTCAAAACCCCAGCTTTCATTTCTATGAAGCTGCGATTCTCCTTATGATTCTGTGCCTGGAAAAAGCTCCCTGGTTTTTTTGGTGGGGGGGATATTCTGGTCACTGGAAGGAGATTACATTCTCCCCAGTGCTCTTTCCCAAAAGATCCCAGTTTACGAAAGGTGAGTCTTTTTTAAGATTAGTGGGGTGATGTCAGAAAGTACTCTTATCCTCAATCAAGTTAATCTGTAGATTTCATTGCATCAGAAAATAGTGTAATTATCTGTAATTTTTAATGGGCTTGTACTGAAAAACCTGGGCAACTGGGATGTATTAGCTTCAGAACTCAGGGGACTGTTATCTCTGGGCAGCAAGCCATAGCAAATGATTACTGACTCGTATCTGGGTCTAGCAGTTGCTTGTAGTGTTGGACAAAAAGAAGGATCTTGGTTTGCAGTACTATTGGTGACTAAGTTCTGTGCATGTTAGATCTCAATTTAGCATTCACATTATGCAAATTACCAAATTTATAACTAATTCTGCTTCCATAATTAAGTTGGGCAAGAAACTTGTATTTTTTTTCTTCCAACCTGGAATGCTGGGCTGAAAGAGAATGGGGGGGGGCAGGGAGGAGTATGAGGATTGAATTTCTACAGTTCTGTATTGGTGAGACCCCAGTGTAGTTGGAGAAAGAAAAAAATAACAAGGAACGAAGTAAAATGACAAAGACCTAGGCTGAGAAATCTCTACACTTGCTTTGGCTTTTGAACTTTCTGTGAAAAGATCCCAGAGAAAGCTGTGTATATATGGATCCATTGAAGTTAAAGGCATATCCATAGCTTATTTATTCATTGGTAATCTCAAGAGTTTCGGCCTATAGCACAACAGTATGCTTCAGTAATATTGGTTCTGAAGAGATTATATAAATTGTACCACCATTTTACTATCCTGAGCCTTTGCTGGAGTTGAAATTAGCTATCAAAGCAGACAGTCTCTGCTCTGCTGAATTTCATAAGCCATTGAGGATGTGGAGAGTTAATGAATCTAGGTCTGACTGGGATGTTGCTCCCTGAGAAGCCCTAATTTGTGCTAATGGCTAGGTGCCTTGCAGTTTCTAGAGAGACCTGCAGCTACTCTTCAGGAGGACAAGCGCCTGGCTGCAACCTGTTTGCTACCAAAGTCATAAGGATCTGGAACAGATACTTAGGCTGCAACTTGGAAGAAAGTGCCGTTGAATTCCAGAGCTTGCTTTTAGATGTTTCTGTGTAGGATTACACCACTGGAGCCACTTTGTTGGTATATGCAGGGGAATTGAACATGAGTAATGGCATGATATCCATGTAGAATTACTGTTAGGTAGTATCTGCTTGTGAAGAATCTCCTACTCCCTGCATTTCCCCCATTGTTGCTTTCTTGGTGGCACAGAGCAAGCAGTGAGGAGGAGGAGGCAGCCCATGTTCACTGCTTATTTTACTTCCAGATCCAACACCTGTCCAAGATCCTTGGCATAATAGTTTGAAAAAGAAATACATGTCAACCTTGGGACAGCTAGTAAGGCACAATTTTGAAATACATAGGGATTGAAGATTTTTCTGCACATACATTCATAAAGGGTCGTGTTAACTGAAAAAATATCTTACATAATGATTAAACATAAATCCACTACAGTTTTGTTTTTGTTTATACTCTCATTCATGTACTTTTGTGGAAGAAAGATAATTTCCCTTTTCCAAGAAACAGCATTGTATTTCAGTGTTCAAGAATATAAGGCAGTCGATCGAATGATTTCAATAAACTCTAAATTTTGTAAAAAAAAACAAAACAAAAAAAAGCGTGGAACTACTTTGTTTCTAAGCCATATTTAGTTTCTAAGCCATAATCTCTGATGTGTATGGATTTTGCTGGATTAAGTTGTGGCTTCTCACCTCTGCTTGGTTGCTCTGCTGTAGGAAAACTTCACAGTGAGCTGTTTCTTCAGAGCAGAGCTTTTTCCAGTACACTGCTCAAAATTTGCAAAGCTAGAAGATTTTACATGTATTCTGCTTCAATGCATGGAACTATGATTCATTTGTAGAAGTTTTAATTGTGGGAACATTTAGATAAGTGGCAAAGTGTTTAAGTTGATAGATGCTTTGTCTTCACTTTACAAACAGTTCCAGAACTTTGCATCATAGAATAGCATTCACGGAAAAAAAGTTCTTCCTGTTCTGTTCCTTTTTTTTTTTTAACTTGGAGGTGAGATGCTTCTCCCTTTAAAAGGAAGATGTGATGTCTTTTTCCTTGTTTCCTGCATTCTTATCATAAAGAGCAAGTTCATGAGGGTGACAGAAGATTAAGATCCCTCTTGCAAATACTTGAAGTGTAGGAAAAAAATTGCAATCCTGAAAGTTCTGTCAAGAAAACAAGTTTGAAAATGAAGCATTTGTAATAGTCTATGTTGGGGAGAAATGACTTTCAAGTGGCAGTTGGCAACCTGTCTCAGTATTTGCAAAATGCAAGCATTTGTTATTTATCTCATTAGGATCCAAAATCACTTCCTGCCTGGTGCTTGGTCTCAATGTGGCTTGTTTGATTTTGATTTCATAGAAGCTGGGGGGGGGGGGGGAATCGATGTGTATAATCTACTTGCACAGTCATTAAGAGCATAAGAATTCTATCCATTTTTAAAATTGCTTGTGGGTGGGATCTTCAAAGACTTGTGTACCATATTTTTTACTGAAAGAACAGCTCGACTGACTTGCTCCGTGAGTAGTCTTGGAAGGTGAATAGTGTCATACGTCATCCAGATAGAAGTTACGAAGATTGGTGTTGGTCTAAAGATTGCAGCCCGTCAACTGTTTATGAAATGGCAAACTTAAGATCATTATTGATGTTAGCACAAATGCAAATCTGTTTTATAATGCCTTCTCATTTTGAATGGCCAAAACTTTAAAGGCAAAGTGCTTTCTGTGGATCAAGCAAACAAAACTGCAACAGTGGGAGTTGCCAACTTCTCAACCTGTGACCCTCTGCCTTTAGCAGCAGTCAGATCTGTCCAGAAACCGGCTCATGCTCTGGCTTTTGAAGTCAGATGGTCTGTTTCCTGAAACATTTACAGTCCTGAAATGATTTTCTTTCAGCTTCTTTTTGCAATCGGTCATTGAAACCTAAAGCCCAAAGTAAGAAATACATGAAACTGTAAATCCACACTGATTCCTTCCCAGACATCAGTTTGGGTATTAAATGAGCTAGGAAAAAGTTAACTTTGCTTCAAAGGTCTCTTGCTCATGCGTGGGTTTAGTTCTTATGCTCTTTAATGCTAATTTTGTAACACTA